AACGCCCCGTTTGAATTAGAATTATTTGAGATTATTTATTAGTTTATTATTGCCATTGTTATTATTATTAGTAAATATTTATTTGTGATTAAATGTCTAATTGTTTTAAATGCCTATTATTATTATTATATAGGTATTCATATTAGATGTCAATTTGCCTAATTGTTTATTTATAAATAAATATTTGTGTATAATTTTTCCTAGCTACATAAGTTATTTATTGTATCCCAAAATGAATGATTTTTCTAGCCCTAATTGATTACACTATGATGGCCCAATTTCTTGTTTTAAATTGGCCCAAGTGAATTATATTCCCTTGGCCCAATCTCACTTGTATAAATTTTGGCAAGTATGATTATTTGGCCCAACAAGAAGATAGCATCGTTCTTCTTCTTCGCGCAACGAGACCGAGTCTCACCTTATCTGCACGTTTGAATTTCGGTTCCGATTTGGTCTGAGATTATCTTCTCATCCTCCGCGAACTACTCTCCTCTCTCTCGCATATATTTTCTTTAATCAGAAGAAAATTTAATCATTCAAACGTCTCTCCATCATCTCTCCATCTCCCTGTTATCAGTTAAAAAAAAAAAAATAAACAAAAAATTCGCACCTTCTTCTCCGGCGAGCCACCGCAGAGCAGCCTTTGAACGCCGTTCAAACCAGCAGTAGCTCCTCCGTCCGTGCACGTGGCCGCCCAATCTCGTTCCCGTGTAGCATAAACTCCGTTCGCGAGACACCAGCGGGCCGTCGCCATTCTTTCCGGCGGGAGTTTCCTCTCCGGCGAACACACCTCTGAGCAGCGTGTTGCCGTCTCCATCACCTCCGCTGCTGTTACCATCCATCGTCAAGTCCAGTGCAGCAGCAATTCGTAAGCAAGCAGTAACCATCCGTTGAGCCGTTCGTACGACCCGTTGTCGGGCCCGTTTCCCGTCCGAAAACTCGTAGTTTCCCGAAGTCGGGTAACTTATTCGAATCCTCTCGTTAATACGGTCGTTTTCATATATTACTCGATATATATATGATGTGTTCGGTTTACCGAAACTTTATTTGAAATCGGAACTTTGTTTGTTGTTATTTGTTGATTCGTATGTTCGTAAGTATATTTGTGAATTTTCGTGGATTATCGGAACTCTCGTTTATCGTATTAATCGAGTCTCGTTGTTGCTGTATTGAATTCGTGTGATTTCGGTGTCCCGTTTTGTCATTTCGAGCCTTGCCGTCATTGTTGTGTCATTCGTTTGTTTTTGAACTACGTATTGTCGTTTCGACTTTTGACTCTTTAGAACCGACTTTTAATGGTTTTCGAAACTTGGTAAATGTGTTATTTTCGTAGACACTTCATATTCTTGACCCGGTTGCCATTGGTGATATCATAGTCAGGCTCGAAATTGATCAAAATAGCCGAGCTGTGTTGCCTCTGTTTTCTGTTCACAGCCTCTGTAGGTTACATTCTGATCAAAGTCCCAGGGTTTCCTTTTTAGAAATTTTAGTTTCAATTTATGTCACAACATAACCTCTGGCGCAGCGGTCTTGGCGCTCTGTTGTGTTAGTGAGGTCGGGGTTTCGAATCTCAGCCCATGGGAACTTGCCATTTTTTTTTTATTATATATATATGTGTCCCAGGCGCGGGCTTCTCAGCCCGCTAGCGGCCCGCCCTCTTCAGCAGACTCAGCCCGCGCAAAGCCCGATTTCTCCCGCTGCAGCCCAGCCCAGCGAGGCCCGTGTCAACCCAGTTTTGGCAGGCTTATATTTCCGGCCCAATATCCTAGTGCAAGGCCCAATGTGGGGCAGAACTGGGCCAGATTCTACCAGCGCGGCCCAAATAGCTTTTTAAGCCTATTTTGTGTTCCGGAGTCCGTTTTTCGTACCGATTTCAAAATTAAAAAAATTATTTTCAAATGAAAAATTTAGAAAAATTATTTTAAGTCCCGAGACTCCAAATTTTATCCTCCGAGCCTTATTTTTCAAAAATGAGAGAGTTCCAAGTCCACGAAAAATCCGATTAAAACCCTTAAGACTTAATTTTTATTAAGTATGGGGTTTACGTTAAATTCTAGTAGTGAGATAGATTATTGATATATTATCTCGCTTAAATGTAGGTGTTTGAGAAGTCGAGCCCTCATCCTACGTACTTGTGATTGTGCGCTATTTTCTACCGAGCTATCCAGGTGGGTTTACTTATAAAATCGTCTATGCCATACGTGTTGTTTAATGTTTTGTTGGTATGATCAATGTATGCATGTGAACCATGTAGCCTACTGATGTGAGCTGTTACGGCCGTCGGTACGGTTGTCCCCGTCGAGTTACGGTACGGTTGCCCTTGCGAGGCAAGTCTCCTTAAGACCTAATGAAAGGCCGTGTCCGTTACAGTGGCACGCACTCTCGTCGTTAGGGTTTATTCATCCCCTTTCCGCGGCTAATGATAGATGTGCACATGAGTGAGTTATTGTTATGATTGTTAGGAGATGAGACATGATGATGATTGATTTATATTCATGCTGCGACCATACCATCTTTACATGTTATTATGTGCATAGTAGTGAGCACTACTTTATCATTTGTGCTCATTCCCACCTGCTCTTCACGGATGCAGGTTAAGCAGTGGCCGGATGACGGGACGAAGGACGAGTGGTGGTCCATTATGTGTTTCTTTATGCTTTCGCTTTAATAATAATATCGTCATGAACTTTTATTAATATTTGGACATGTGAAATCGTTTTCGAACTATGTTTTTGGATGTCTGAAAATATTTTGGAAAACTCTTTATGAACCTTGAATAATCATAGTGTTTGATTTTGTTCATATGGGATATTATGTTAAAGTGTGAATCAGGTTAATGAAAACCTTGTGTAGAACCGGGTTTATGAATCCCCGTAAGTCCAAATAAGACTTGGACTAAGTAAATTGTGTTGGTTAATGCCCCTGATTTCGAAAATGAATTTTGAAAAATTTGTTCTGATTTTTAGAAAAGTCCGGAATTTCTGTAAAAATAAAGTGGGGTGTTACAGTTTGGTATCAGAGCTAGTCTGCGTTTCTGTAGACTGGCACATATGTGATTATGTGTTTAGACCTTGTGTTATGACCACTCGTCTCCGTCACTCTGCGCTGCTTAAGGTATGTTTGATTTAAGTATTAATGAAAATACTTGATATGTATATGGTACACTTGTAGTAATGAAACTACTTGTGGAGTGATTGTTATTTTGGGGCTTAGGACCTATCCACCTTGATTTAATCGAACTCTAGTGTTTATGGGCGAACTCTAGACTTCTATAAGCATTGATTATTTTGTTTGTTTTTGTGCTAAACTTTGTTCGGCTTATTCAATGTAGAAGTATGAATACTCGCAACAACAACCGTAACCGTCAGGCATCTCTGACTCCTTCCCCGCCTCGTCGTCAGCACCAGGCCCCTCTGGCCATGGACCTCACTCAGCTTATCGTGCAGTTTCAGAGGATGAATGCACCCACTTTTGCGGGGACTGAGAACCCCACAGCGGTGCTAGAGTGGATGAAAGAGCTGGATAAGATTTTTGCGGTACTTCCCCTCCCTGACCGCCAGCGAGTGTCTCTAGCAGCTTATCAGATGAAGGAGGACGCCTCTGACTGGTGGACCACTGGGCTCGGAGGCCAGAGGCGGAGCTTCATGCTCTCACTTGGGAGCAAATGAAAGTGATGGTGCGCAGCAAGTTCCTTCCCCAGAGCTTTTGGGATAGGATGGAGCATGAGTTCTACCACTTGCAGCAGGGCAGCTCCACAGTGGACGAGTACATCCGTACCTTCACCCGCATGTTCCTTTTTGCGGGCGACGCAGTGAATACCGATGTTAAGAAGGCCCACAAGTTTCTCAAAGGGCTCAATCAGAGGATCCGTGAACTGGTGGGGAGTCACGGACCGATGTCTTTCGCCGACACTGTTAGTCGAGCTCAGGAGGTAGAGAGCTGTCTCATTCCGATAGCCGCAGTCCCTTCATATTATCATGCCTCCCAGCCTTCTCAAACCGTTGTTCAGTACGCTCAGCCCATCTCCTCTGTGCCGCCCGGCTCTAGCTCGGGCAAGAGGAAGTCCGATTATCAGAACAAGAA